ATTATATATATAAAAGAAGATGTGAGTGCCGTCAGCACAGAGCAAAGTAGTATTACGTAAATAAAAGTTAGTAATTTCAGCAATTTCTTATGCTGAAGTGTACAATTCCTTTAAATTTTAATCATTGATTACTATATATCTATTAAAAAACCATAATGGCCGACATCAGTGACAATGCAACAACAATTGAAAAAGAATGATGGCCGACAACCGCAACAATTAGAATAAGAATGATGGCCGACAATTGCAACAATTAGAAAAGAATGATGGCCGACACTACGTCATAGGAGAACAATAAAAATGGCCGGGGGCAGGGGAAGAACTAGTCTAAATTAACTATTTTTCCATTGGTCTAGGACTGTATTTCCAAAAATGAAACGCAAATCTATTTAAACAATGTACATCAAATTTTAAACATTGTTTGCATGTATTTGATAACTTATATCGATTTATTTTATTTTAATAACAATTTTATGTTATATTATTTGTCGCACTAATTAATATTTTTGAGAAAATGCGAAAAATTATAATTTCCCTTTAACAAGAGGCCTAACGTGCCATCTGGCGAAGCTTTAGTACAAAGTCAACTTTGAAATGCAATTTGTATTTGGTAATAAAAACATTTGCTATAACTACTTATATCAGGTTGAAACGTAAGACTATTCAAACAATATATACCAAATTTTAAACTTTGTTTGAGTGTATTTTACACTTTATATCGTTTGATTTTATTTCGAAAACAGTATTAACTTGAATTATTTGTTGTGTAATTAACATTATGGGAAAATATTGAAAATTATAATAATTTTCCTTCAAAAAGGGACTTGTGGTGCCATCTAACGAGTCTCTATTACTAAGTCGAACCTTAAATTCAAATATGCATTTGATACTTAAAACTTTTGCAATCAATACTAAACTTATAAAATTAGTAAATACACTAATTGTTGATAAAAAACAGTCTGTTAATTATGCAGAATAGAATTTATAATCTTTTAGCTTTAATTTACGTTAAAATTGCTAAAAATTAATGATATTTGAAAATGCTGAAATAGCAAATGGGTAAATGATAGTAAAATGCTTTTTTTTTTTAAATTAATTGCATGAATTTCACCCCACATCATTTTAAAACATTTGCATAATTGTCCT